CAGGTTTTTACGAATTTTTCCATGCCTTGATTCCTATTGGTCTAGTTTACATAACTTTTCATAAGAGATTTCAACCATGAAGTTCACGGATGTCCACTATGAAATTCATTTAATATCCAATTTTGTAATATATAGGTATTACTAATTTTTTGTGCGTTATGAAAAACGTCTATCTTCCATAATTTCTTTTAATCTTTTTTTCTTTTATAAATAAATATATCTTGTTCTGCTTTTACTTTTATTTCTGTTAGATTAACTGCTAGTTCGCGTGCTCCATTGAATAATATATTTTTAATTTCCATTTCAATTTTTACTGCTGCAATAACAGTGTCTTCAAACACTTCAGTATTTTTTGGTATCAATAGTGATGTCCTAATTTTTTGGACAGTTGGTATTCCATCTTAAATCGTAATTTAATCAGATGGTACCCCCTGCGTACCCCAGCGTTGTAACATATTCACTGTAATCGTGGGAATTCCTATTTTCGAACAATAAATTGGTATTAGAGGACGGTGGTCCATCTGTTATATTTAACAGTCCCCCCCCACCACAAGGAATGTATGTGGCACAACGCTGATTTTAACGTGGGTTTCTCCGTAGGTTCGGCCAAAAATATTCCCTTAGAGCCCGCATAAGCGGTTTTTTAGATCTGTCTACCTTCCCGGATGAAACTTTGCCCTTCGGCAAAGCCTCGTCCGGGTTCCTTTCTGTTCAAGACAGAGAGTTTGACTGTAATGAACAGTCGGTGGTCCATCTGTAACGAAACTCTTTCTGTGTATATATTTGTGAAATTTTTCACTGCAAATATTATTAGTAACACTTCTTTTTCGATGTGGCCGCATTTTTTTTCTGTCGGTGGTAGCGAATGCGAATCATGTGCGGCGGCTTTCATGTTACCGTCATCATATTTATGTAGAATTACCGCTCCTATACCAAAGTCATTTGCATCTGAAGCCATTACAATTTCTGCTTTTGAATCATAGTGCCCTAATGATCAGTCTGATGTTAGTATTTTCTTGATTTTTTCACACGCCTTATCAGTCCAGTTCTACTTTACTCCTTTTTAAAGCAAATTGTTCAGTGGCACTTTCAAATACTGCACATTAGTTATATAGATTTGATAATAGTTTGCTAATCCCAGAATTGCTTGTAAACTAGTAACGTTTGTTTAAGGAGGCATATACTTAATTGCACTTCCCCTCGATACATCTGGTTAACGACAATTTCGGCTAATGATTTGTCCTAGGTAGTTCATTTTAGCCAAGAACAATTCGCACTTATCCTCACTGAGTTTGTATTTTTTTTCAAAAACTCATGCCCGATATATTGTTCCTTATCTAGATAAGCAACTACGAAATGACAATCTGTAAACATAGTATCCATAACTTGTTGAAATATAGCTGGAGCCACTTTTATCGAAAATGGAAGTCGTTTGAAGTTATAAAATCCTTTCTGCATATTTATAGTCTTTAACTCTTTACATTCTTCTTCAATGTGGATTCGCAAATATGCTTCAGTAAGATCCAGCTTCAGAAAAAAAAAAAAAGTTCCCACCGTTTAAATTCGCAAAATTTTCCTTTGGACTTGGTAATGCGTCATTATAGGACTTTTGTTTAACCCTATCAAAAAATCAGAACAGACACGAATATTTTTTTCTGTACATACACTGCTGGTGTCGTCCATTTTGAATGGTCAATCTTTTCAATTTACGCTTTTTTGAAACAAATTTTTTAGTGGAGCTCTCAAATTCTGCATATTAGGTATATAGATTTCATGATAGTTTGCTAGTCTCAGAAATGCTTGTAACTTAGTAACGCTTGTTGCAGGAGGCACATTCTTAACTGACCTTTCCCTAGACGGATAGGATTGACAACCATTATTCTCGATGAGTTGTCTTAGGTACTGTTCGTACTCTCATATTTTTTTTAATTCTTTCACATATCCGACATGTTGTTCTTTACATACATTATAAATTAATATATCATCCAGATAAGCAACTGCGAAATCACAGTCTGCAAGCATAGTATCCATAGCAATGTTGAAATATAGCTGAAGCTACTTTTATCTCAAAATGAAGTCGGATGAACTTATACAATCCATTGTGCGCATTTCTAGTTATTAACTCTGAACATTCTTCTTCAACTTGTATTTGGAAATCCGCTTCAGAAAGATCCAACTTCGAAGAAATTATTCCACTATTTAAATTCACAAAAATTCATCTGGATTCACTAATGGATTGTTATGGGATTCTAAAAACTTGTTTATCCCTGTCGAAAAATCAGGACAAACACGAATTTTATTATTTTTTCTCTATATTCATTACATTGTTGCCCATTTTGAATGGTCAATCTTTTCAATTACACCTATTTTTTCAAGTTTGTCTTATTCTTTCTCCAAATAATCCAATGCTGTGAACGTTACACTACGTCTCAGTTTAAACGCTGGCCTCGAGCATTTTTTTTACTTGGAATTTCGCTTTGACTTTGTAAAATCGACACAACTCATCCGACGGAACATCAGGAAAACATTTTTCAATTATTCCTTAAATTTTCCCACCGTTTTTTTTAACTGTTAGCTTGTCAACTTACATTTTTGCAGTAAATATTTATAGGTAAATTCCACAACTGAAATAATTCCATGCAGTCAGTAGCACATAACTTTGTAGTATTTTTAAAACATAGCTTTTACATACTTGTTATGAAATGAAACGTTACCAATTTCTTCAATAAAAATAATTTCTTAGCTCTCACGTGCGATTTTCAATGTTCTTTTTAATGTGGGTTTTCCGTTTTTCTTTAGCTTGTATGTATACACATTCTTTTTCTTCAATTTCTCCCGTATCGCGTTTCAACTTTAGGATTCTCTGAAATTTGTTCCACATTTCTTGTACTTTTAGTTTTTTATTCTGCTAAATTTTCGTTATAATTCTCGCGCTTATTTCTGCATCTTTTTTCGCCGTTAACCCTTGAACGAAAATTAGCCCATTAAACAACTTCGGAGTCAATTCGTTTAATTTTAATTTTTTCACACGCCTTGTTAACGTTTCCAGCATATGTGACAAAATCTTCGACTACTTTTTTTCTTCAAATTCATACACTTTCAACGAGAATTATATAATGAACTTTTCTCGGTAAAACCTTTTTTTCAGAATATTTACTTCAAAGCAAATTTCTCCTGTTTTTTATCGGTAATACAAAATTATATGTTCTATCGGTATTAACTTTTTTTTATCAAAAGTCTTCCCACTCGCTGCAGTCTTTTCTGAAAATTTGCTCGTATCTTCTCAAATAAGCAGAAAAAGTAATTCCATCATGTGAATTGTATGTGAATTCAGCTATGGTATTTGCCACCGAATCGTAAAGAACTTGGAGAAGTTCCGTTTTCTTCCGTATTATTTCAATTAAATTTTGTTATTGTTTCTGGAGTTTCAATAACTGCTGCTGTTGCAGTTTTTACTGTTTCTGTTGTTGTATTACCACTTGGCTAATGATTCTTCCATATGTAAAGAATATCTATTTGTTTTTTCCTTCTTTCTCTTTTTATTATTTTTTACACACAACAAAGAAAAAATTAAATCAACCTGGTTCTAACTTACTGTCGTCACTATTAGCTTGTGCGCCGTAGCAAAATAAAAATAAAAGTATTTTTTCCTACTCCATATGAGTTTCGATCCCTCGTCGCCACTGTTATAACTCTCAGCTAGTTGTTATAATATTATGTCTCGCTTTGGTTACTCGTCCTGACGTAATTAGAATTTCTCCTCGACTGACACGAACGGACATCTCTTGACTGATTTTGAGTTTTATTTAAGGCGTTTTGCCTAGTTCATTTGCCTTACCTGGAGTGTTTAATTTCTTTCACAACAAAACAATGATTTTTCATTCATTTACTTTCTTTTATCATGTGCTGTTGATAAATTATCCTGAATCTAAAACACGAACGCTTTTAATTCAGATTCTAGTTTGAGCTATCGAATTTAATCCATTTTCAATGTCTAGAATAAATCCATTTTTTAGGATTATCGTAATAGATCCATTTTTCATTATCGGAAAATGTAAATCAAATTATTTACGATTCACGTAAGAAATCTCGTTATGAAAAAATGAATTCATTTATTTAGTTAGCCTGTCATAAATACGTCTTTCCTTGTTAAAATAATAAAACAATTCATTGAAGATTCTCGTCAAAAAGTCAAAGTCAAAATTAAATCTATATATCGACATCTTTAGCAATGAGTCTATTTTAAATTGTCTAAAAAATAAGTACATTTATTTATGGTTATTTTGATATTTATTTAGGATTCTCGTGATAAATCCATTTTTCATCTGTGAAAAATCATATACATTTATTTAGGATTCTCTAAGATATCCAATTGGTGACCGCCTTGGAATACCAGGCGCTGTAACCTTGGATGTGCGTATAGTGTAATGGATAATGGCTCGGAATTAGAATTCGGAGAACCAAGTTCTAATTCCAGCCGGGTTCGTATTATTCACTTAAGCGCAAATACCCTTGCAAAATGTATGAATCCAAACTTTTCTTCCAGCTATGGGTTAATTAGTAGCTCATGTATCAGTAAATCATTATTATAATTAAAGATTTCTTACAATATAGAATTATTTTCCCGATTTCTGTACCTGCAAAAGGTTGATAAACCGTAAAAAGGAAATCAGTCTAACATACCCATTTTTTTTTCGAAAAATAAAGCCTTCATCTGTTTTTCGTAATATATTCATTTTTCATTGTCGAAAATAATAAATCCTTTTATTTAGGTTTCTCATAATAAATCCATTTTTCATCGTCAAAAATGAATTCATTCATTTACGATGGTTGTAGTAAAATAATTTTTAATTTTCAGGAAATATATACATGTCTTTAGGATTCTTTTACTAAATGCATTTTTATTGCCGAAAAAAGAAATCCATTCATTTAGAATTCCCGTAAAAAATCCATTTTTTTCGTTGTAGGAATGTGTCTATTTTGTTTATCAAGCAAGATCT